CTGGGCTCCGGGGATCCTTCCACCTCAGCCTTCCGAGTAGCTGGAACTACAGGCGCGCGCTACCACGCCCGGCTAATTTTCTTTGATTTATTGTAGAGATGAAGTCTCGCCAAGTTTCCCAGGCGGGTCTCAAACCCGTGGGCTCAGGCAGTCCACTCACCTCGGCCTCCCAAAAGCACAGGGATTATAGGCTGAGCCACCGAGCCCTGCCTCAAAAAGTTTTTCCTACAAAAAATTAGATTTACTACTTCTTGTAATCCTGTCTTCCTTGTAAACAGTGGTTGACAATATTAATGAAATAATCACCTAGTGTTAAATTGTATCTATTGGGTTCTCAGTTTTTAAGAGAGTTCTCAAACTTTAGCCTGGAGGTCTTGTTAAAACCAGATTGCAAAAATAAGTAAACAAAAAAATTAGCCAGGTGTGGTGGTACATGCCTGGACTCCTAGCTACTGGGAAGGCCGAGGCAGAATTATTACCTGAGCCCAGGAGGTCAAGGCTGAGGTGAGCTGTGATCCTGCCAGGATTCTCTAGCCTGGGCAACAGTGAGATCTGAATTGAAAAAACAAACCAGATTGCTGGAAGATGGGCAAGGTAGAACATGCATATATTCTCAGCTACTTGGGAGAATGAGATGGGAGGACCAATTGAGTCTAAAAGTTCTAGCCTGGGCAAAATAGCAAGACCCCATGTCTTAAAAAAAACAAAAACAAAAAACTAGATTGCTACCCACTTCCAGTCAAGACCAAGTAACAACCAGATTTGCCCTTTCACCTGAAATAAACAAAAACAAACCAGACAGCATATATGAAATGATGGTTTTTCAAGACACTAGAGACCAAGCAATGAAAAACAATTATTCTCAAAAGATCGGAAACAAATGCAGTGATTCCTGAGCCCTCAGATTGCCCTCAGTTGTCTTGAGAGTGTTTCCAGGCTGCAGCATCAAAAGGAAGAACAGAGGGTAGCTTGGTAGACCCTTTAGACTGATAGTCTGGGAAAACCGAATCTTAGGATAGAATTCCAAAGAGGATAGAACAGCACAGAAAAAAAAACCTGCATAAGTTTCCCCTAGAGTATTCAGCAGACTATGGATCAGCACATGCTTGCAAACCCAAGGAAAAAGTCACAAGAAAAGGTTAAAGAGAACAATGCCCAGGACTGGTTGGGAATAAAGCCTGTTCCATCAACCAGATTGAAAAAAAACTCATATCCCACAGGACAGTGGGTAAAATACACAAGAGGGGCTTGCCTCAGTAGTGAAGAATAATTAGTTCTGATTGAACACTGTTCCAGACCTACCTAGAAAATTATAAAATATCTGAAAGGACCACATTGTTTCTCAGTAATTTAGTTGCATTCCAGAATAAAGCTGAAGAAGATTTCTAGGAATACAAAAATATTCAAAACTCAACAAAGTAAAATTCTAGCATCTAATTAAAAATTATGGAACACATGACCATAAATGATGACAGTAATCAATCAATTGAATCAATCAATTGAATCAATTGAAACAAACCCAGAATTGACAAAGATGTTATTTTAAATGAGTAGAGCTGGGCATGGTGGCTCATGCCTATACCCAGCACTTTGGGAGGCGAAGGTGAGAGGATTGCCTGAACCTACAGGTTCAAGACCAGCCTGGGCAACTTGGTGAGATCTCACCTCTACAATAAATCAAAACATAAGGCTGAGGCAGAAGGATTGCCTGAACCCAGCAGGTCGAGGCTGGCTGCAGTGGCCATGAGCGTGCCACTGC